GTAAGATACTTACCTTAAATTCAGAATTTAATCATGAAGGAAGTTCATGGAACAATTGACAATCATTATGCTCAATCCCAAAACTTCTACTCAATTGGTTAGAATCTCGTGCTGATAACGTGTGATAAAAAAATAAAAGAAGAACAAGAGTATTGCAGAGAAAAGTAGAGAGAGAGAATTCTTATTGATTTGGGATGAATTACAATGGAATAGAACCTCTCTATTTATAGGGAGAGAGTGACTTAACCACCAAGTAATAAACCCTAGAATCTCTCTAAATATAGACATTCACTATAAATAAAATTTATATGATAGGAGAGTAGTAATAATAACACAAGTTTATTAAGATCATTTGTTTTATTTAAATGGTAAGTTAGAATATGAAATCATTTTAAATAACCAAAAGGACAAACAAAAAGATCGACGGACAAGGTGCAGACTACAGCCGAGCATTAAATTCGCACGAAGTCCATTATTGTATTGGTCTAACTGAAAAAGTAACATATAAAATTAAGAAGTGAATTTTTATTTTATAGTATTGAAAATTAGGAGAATCTATGCTGCGATATACTAAGCTATGAAACAAAAGTACCTTAATTTAATGTTGTTTTATCGAAGTAGCGGTCTAGTTTTACTCTTCATATGAATGTTTTAAAAGGCGGGGGCGTGGGGCGAGGTGTTTTACTCTAACAAGGCGAGGCGTAAGCCCTGCGACATGGGGCGTAAGTCCCACGGATCTTAACTAAGATATTATAAAATAAAAAATAATTATAAAAGTTACGTTAAAATCACAAAAATATAACAACTAATCTATTTAAAATACTTATAAATTATAATTCGATTACAAATAATACAAAAAGTATGACATATATATAATATGCAAATTAGCTGCAAATTCGTTATTAGCTCAAACATCAAAAGTAATATATTCGATACGAAATCTTATATGTATCTCTTAATGAGTAATGAATCTTGAAAGAATTTCGATATTATAATTTGATATTTTATTAAAAATACTCCACTTATTTAATATGCTTGCTATTTGAAAGAGAATTTATATAAAAACATAATTCACAATTTAAATATAATTCTCTAGCATCATTTATTTTTAAGTTTCAACAAGTTAATAAAGTGACACATAATTCACCATACTATACCATGAGAATTAATTATTTGTAAATAGTTGCCCTAGCTAATACTGAGCTATTAAATTAATAAGTATTGTATCTCGTAAACGTGAAAAAAATAATATTTAGGAAAATAGTTATAAAAAAATTATGGACTATTATATAATAAAGACATAACAAAAGTTAATAAATAAATACTTTTTAAATGAAAGATTTATTTAAAATTTACTATTATAGAAGTTTTAGTGGATAACGTGCAATAATTTTTATTTTAAATATGACATAAAATACTCTCAACTTAAGGGTTGAGCTAGCTAAGGCCCCATTTGGCCATACATTTTGGCAACATTTTTTCAAATCTTTTTTTTAAAACATTGTTTGTTCATATATTAATTATCTATTTTTGAAAAATTTCTGAAATGATTTTTCAAGTTCCCAAAATCTAGTTTAGGGTAGATTTTGTCCAAACATAATTTCAACTTCCAAAAATTATTTTTCAAAACTACTTCAAAAATTATTTTTTCAAGTTTCACCTAAATCTATGTCCAAACGCTAGCTAAGAATGGAATAGCAAAGAGCCGAGCTGTTGCTCAAACTGATAATATAAAATAGAGGACGAACATTTGGAATTTCATATTACGGACCCGTTTGTCCATAGATATTTTCTCTCCTTTTTTAAAAAAAATAAATATATTTGTTCATGAAATTTTGTAAATTTGTGGAATTTTTTTGAAAATGAGTTTTTCAAAAATCAAAAAATAGTTTTGATCACTTTTTCAGAAATTTTTCAAGTGAAATGCATGCCCAAACATAATTTCAAATTTCAAATGTCATTTTCAACTTAACTCCAATACTATTTTTCAAAAATTATACTCCATTATGTAACCTTTTATAGCAAAGTATTGAGAAATTAGGGCCCCAAGTTAGATAAACACAATATTACTTTAATCAATGTATTTATTGGAGGGACCCGTTTTGTTTCCACTTTGAAATCCATTCTCCTTAACAACAGATATCACCTGATCCGCATTGTATTGGGTCTTAATTTCATGGATTTAACGTATTAAATGAATTTTCTTCTGGGATTTGAAGTTGTAAGTTTTCAGGAAAATAAAGATATTTCCTACGGAAGGCACGATAAAAATTTATCCGAATTAAATATTTCAAACCAAATTAAATTAACTTATTATGGTTAAGTGATTTAACAATAATTAACCAGGATGGAGCTGTATATTTGATTAATTATCTTGAAGATTAATTTGTGTATGACTAAAGAAATGATCATGATTATTTAATGAAAGTAGAAATATTGTGTCATAACTATATATATGTCGATGAAAAATATTATATATCTATATTGATGAAGAAGAAGTCTTGATCTGGTGGCTGCATATGAAGGCAAAAATATTTATAACCTGCTGTCAAATTCATTGAAATTTCATTTCTCCATTATTTTTATATATTAAATTCAACAATTGAATTTTGACAAACTTGGGCTAGATCCCGTTTTTTATTTCTTTTTGCCATTACGAACATCTAAAATAATTTACTAGACCAAAAAAAAAAAAAAACAATTCCTGTTTAATTATCCCAAAATCCACATACAGAATATTTCCTCATGTAATGACTAATTATCTGAATAGGACTAAATCATTTGAAAGTAATACTTCTTTTCCATCCCTGCAAAAGTAAAAGAAATGATAAACTGTTTTATTACTGCTTTATAAACACTAAAATAATTTGTGTAACCTTTTCTACAGAGAATAAAAATCATGCAAACGATAGGTACGTAAATAGAATAATATTTTCTTGGTCCAATCGTATGGAATAATATTATAATACCAAGTGTAGTGCTTGAACGCCCAAAGTAGTGCCAGCTTCTATGGTAGAACCAACTTTATTTCAGATAATTCCCGATTGATTTTGTCCCAATCTGTACAGGAAAAAAGAAAAAGAGATCGACCCTAAAAATGATAACAATAATTTATTGTATTTTTGGGGTTAAGGATAAAATTTTAAGAGCAACTATCTGGGGTTCAATTTCAATTATTGAGAACGGACATAATTGAATTCAAAGGTATGTAGTGGCTGCTGAAATTTAGAATACTGTACCCACAAAAATCCTAAAGGTTCGTCCTCTTATTGTCTACCACGGTTTTCCTTATTCTATTTTTAAAGGGAAAAAGAAATAGATCTTATCCAAGCGACAAAGAAAATGGAAAATCCAAAAGGAAAACCCAACAAGAATATACCCGAGTTTTGGCATCCTAAGAAAATATTCTTCGCCCTCAAATATCACTTGAATTTAACAAAATTGAATTTTTCTGAATATTATATAAACTAATAGTAACAGCTTGAAGCAAAGCAGATGATTAACATCGAGTTGATAGGGAGAAAAACATGGAAATATATTTCTAGTTATACTAATATAATATGATGAGTAGTCGTCAAAGAGAAAAATCTCACGATACCTCAATGTAGTCTTTATTGAAGCCTTCACATATAAGTAGAAAAGCATACGAGTTCAACTTTTAACATTGAACCCATTAAATTTTACTATTATGGTTTATATTTACTATTTATTGCAAATTAATTAGATTTTACATATAAATATATGTTCTGTGTCGAAAGGATTGGTTTCAGATGAACGTTTCAGATATGCTGCATATCCGATGGCATTCATCAGCCACTCTACCAAATTGATAATTTTTATTACCAATATATTAGAGCCAGAATGCATATCTATTGTTGATGCCAACTGGCAAACATTTATAGGCTCCTCCGTTATTTGTTGATTGATTTTTTGCTGATTAGGAGCACATTAATATACAAAAATAAATGAGAAACAAATTAAACCCCTTTCAAAATTCTAGTGCTTGAGGTGGACGCTTTAGTGCACAATGGATAGGACGATGACATAACAAAAGGGCAATATGTTTATATCGAACCCATCATATACTAAAAAGGTTAACTGATCAAAAGGTGCGTTGTTTTGTACATAGAAATTGAATTAAACCAAATAGAGCACTAACTGAAAAAAAAAATACATACAAAATGGAGAACTCTAAGACTAATATTGTATACTTCTAGTGTTGCTATATAAATATGTGAACTAAGCACTCTTCATTTCATTGTCAATCAAAATAGCAAGTCTTGCAATTGTTTGTGAGTGAGAGATTAGCAAAGAGAGGAATTTTCAAGTAAAAACAAAGAGATGGCTATTTCTGGTCACTGGGCATTTGCTTTTGGGGTCCTTGGTAAATCACTTTTTCTTGTTCCTTCGGTATCCGTATTAACTTTTGGTGATAATGTTTAGGGGTGCTAAATAGGTGTTAAATAGGTGGGTTGGGCCGATTTTGGGTGAGTCAAAATAAGGTGAGTTAATAAATAGGGGAGAGGGAAGGGGGATCATTGACCCGCCCAAGAGTTACTTGAACTGAGATGGGCTAAAATTTGGAGTATAGTTGAACTTGTCCAACTCTTATCAAACTTAACTAATAGTATGTGTTATTTTCTTATGAATTATTTAATTATTAAATAAAACCTTTTTTTTGCTATGATCATATATAACATATCAAGCAAAAAAATTATTTTAAAAATATTTTATCAAACTTATTTATGGATCAATTTGGATTAAAAATCAACCCAACTTTAGATGGATGGATATGGATTGAGTCAAGATGGATTGACGGGTTTGGCGAGTCATGTTTCTCTGGCCAATTTTGACACCACTAATATTGGCATTCTCGCTTCTTATTCTTTCTTCCTTTTAATTTGTACATTAAAGTCAGGAAATAGATGTTGGTCAACAGTGGGCCAATAACAATTATTAATGACAAAACTATACAATATCTTAGTGGAAGTGTCAACTAATCATTTCATCGTACTGACGTATCCTCAATCATTAGCGTACAAAATTTAATCATTGCATGGATCTTTGTGGGAATTTTATCTCTCCCAATTAATCATTAGTTTATCAAGAATTTCTTTTGTTGACCCCTTGAATTTTCTATCTTGCAGGAAATATTGTCTCGTTTATTGTTTTCCTGTCTCCATTGTAAGTTATTTATTACCCATATTAATTCGTACTCACTTTATACGAGGTGTTTTTACTAGAGTTAAAGCCATTTAATTAATTGCATACTTGTTCACTTGTAGACCTACATTTTATAAAATTTACAAGAAGAAATCAACTGAAGGCTATCAATCAATTCCGTATGTGATTGCTCTATTCAGTTCCATGCTTTGGATATACTATGCATTTCTCAAGACCAACACGACCCTTCTTATCACTATAAACTCCTTTGGAGTCTTCATTGAAACTATCTACGTTGGCTTTTACCTTTTCTATGCACCAAAGAAAGCCAGAGTAAGTTTTCAAGAGTATTTTTTCTCTTTCTTTAATATGAAGAAAGAAAAGGAATAATTTGTCACATTCTTATAAATGCAGATCCAAACAGTGAAGATGCTTCTTTTAACAGTGGTTGGTGGATTTGGTGCAATAATCCTCATTGCTCAGTTTCTATTCAAAGGTGTCGCTCGTGGACAAGTGGTTGGATGGGTTTGCCTCGTTTTCTCCTTATGCGTGTTTGTCGCGCCATTATGCATAGTGGTAAGCTTGAAAATTACTAGTTCTGATCTCTTTATTCAAGATTTAACTTATATACACTTATAACATAAGAGTGTAAAAATTCTTTACACGAAGACTGCGCTCATTTTGGTTGATCATTTCATGCAGAGAAAAGTTATAAAAACAAAGAGTGTGGAATACATGCCATTACTCCTATCAGTGTTTCTTACATTAAGTGCAGTGATGTGGTTCTTCTATGGTCTTCTTCTAAAAGACATTAACATTGCCGTAAGTAATATGGTCAAGCTCATCATAGATACCACTTCTTTAATTACTTGCATCTGTGTTCTTACTCGTACTTTCTTTTTTATGTTTTATAGGCTCCAAACATATTGGGATTCATCTTTGGTATTCTCCAAATTGTGCTATATGTAATATACAACAAGAAAGAGAAGCACATCCTTAAGGAGCATAATCTTCCTGAGCTACAAAATCATGTCATAATCTTGGATGATAATAAGAAGCTTTCAGAACTAACTGAAGAACAGAAAATTGACATTATGAAGCTTAGTAAATTGGTTTCAAGTTTGCATGAAAATGCATCTGCAGCAGCTAAAGAAGAGAAGCTGCCCAAGCTACAATCTGTACAGGCCTAAGACTGTGTGAACCATTAAGTTTACATGCACATGCAACGTGTATTATTTTAACGAAATGCCCCCCAGTACGTATTAATTGAGCCAGACAAAATGAAGGCTAATTAATACTGATTCACCTCCAGTGCTTCCGTTCATAGGATCGAATTTGATGGGAATTAAGTTTGTCGTGTCATAAATTAAGTTTCACTTGTGTTACATTTCTATCTCCATCAAACCAATCTCCTGTAATCTTTCGTCGGCTCTCATACTTTCTTTCCTTTTCTTTATTATTAGAAAACCAGCCGTTACGCTTTAATTGTCAAAAGAGAACTGTGAATTTGTACACTAATACCTAAGATTTCGATGCTCGCGTCTTTTAAGCGCGCATGACAACTTATTAAAAGTTGAAGAATTAATCCAAATTGACGCCCACCTAATCTCTTAAACTAAAAATAGTCGACATATATATATATATATATATATAAAAGATATGCATAATTGTGTTTAATCAATATATAATCTATGTATACCGGCTAGAAAAAGTCAACATCGAATGCGGCCGACTATTTGTGTGATAATCTCATTAAAGTTAGACAGAAATCGTGTGCTAGCGGGTGAAATTAAGTGCACAGACATTTTGCACGGGACTAAGGTAGAATTATCGGTGTTGTTATTTGACGGAGGAGCAATTAGTTTTCTTTTTTATTTATCATATGAGATGTTAAATATAAACTAAAAAGAAAAGTAAGATACATAAATTGAAACAAATGGAGTAACTCTTTTGAAATTTTCATTCTTCTTTAACTATCTTAGAACTAAAAACTTAACTCTTTAAATACAAAATTTTCCATATAGAATTAGTACAATCAATTTAACTTTATACTGGTAGTGGAGTAGTATTTATTGCTAGAAAAACATCAATGATAATGTACAAGAGCAAACCTAGTTCGGACAATAGTGTAAAGATTCTTCCTCATTTTTTGGGTTCGTACAGAAAGCTAGTCCACTGCTGCATCAAAGTAAATACAATATAGGTAGAGTTTCCTATTGCTATGACCAAAAAGCAACCAATTATGGGTACTGGGTAAGAATCGTAGAAGTTTCCTATTACTATGTTATACTCTTTCTGTCACAATTTATGCGATGAATTTCTAATTTCGAGAGTCAAACAAGTTGTTTTAACTGTTATTTTTTCATATGCTTTTAAATATTTTAAATTATTAATTATTGTGTCATATAATATTTTTTATGTAGTTTTCAAATACGTAAAATTTATTTCAAAAAACTTAGGAACTATGTCTGATTTCGCGATCAAAACTAAGAAGTTTGACTCTCAAAATTCAAACTATATCACATGAATTAGGACGGAGTGAATACTAATGTAGTCTTAAACAATGGAAACATATGAAAGGGAGATTTGGTTTTGTACTCCATCATAAAATATTATTTTAGTTATATAATCATTTCGTAGGGGATTAGTAATTAATAATACACAAGTATATTAAGATCATTTATTTTAATCAAACGGTAGGTTAGAATATGAAATCATTTTATATAACCAAAAGGACAAACCAAAAAGATCGACGGATAAGGTGCAGACTACAGCCGAGCATTAAATTCGCACGAAGTGCCATCCATGATTATATTGGTCTATGCCCCGACATACTAAGCTATGAAACAAAAGTACCTTAATTTAACGTTGTATTAATTTGGGTTTGTCAAATTTATTGCTTTGTCTCGGGATAATTTATTTTCGGATTACTATTGCACCTTCTGACAGATATAATTTATCCCAATATTATTTTTAATCTAGTGATAATTTATTCCAGAATTATTAACCAAACTAGAGATAAAGCGGTACTAAATTTTTATCCCAGGATTATTTTGTTTATCCATCGTACCAAACGACCCCTTAAGGTAGAGGCATTTCGGTCAGCCCTCTGGGCTAATGCTAAATACTAAGAAGAATAAGAGACAAAATTAGTTAAATAAAAATAAAATCTTAAAACTTAACTTATGCTAAACCTGAAGGAACACAAAAATGTTTTTTTACTTGTGTATATTTTTCCAAATTCGAATAAATTGCTTTAAGAAAATTAAGTGTCAACGTGTGGGCTAACCAGCTTAGAGCTGAGCTAATGAGCTTCATCAAATGAAGGGTTGGGCTAGCTAATAATGGAGTACTAGCAAAAAGCCGAGCTGTTGCTCAAACTGAGAATATAAAGTAGAGGACGAACATTTGGAATTTCATATCACGGACCCGTTTGTCCATAGATATTTTCTCTCTTTTTTTCGAATATTTTTTCAAAAAGATATATTTGTTCATGAAATTTTGGCAAGGTTTTGAAAATTTTTCGAAAATGAGTTTTTCAAAAATCAAAAGTAGTTTTGATCACTTTTTCAAAATTTTCAAAAAAATTTCAAGTGAAATGCATGTCCAAACGTAATTTTAAATTCCAAATGTCATTTTCAACTTAAGTCCAATACTACTTTTTTATACTCCATTATGTAAACTTTTATAGCAAAGTATAGAGAAATTAGGGCCCCAAGTTAGATAAACACAATATTAGTTTAATCAATGTATTTATTGGAGGGACCCGTTTTGTTTCCACTCTGAAATCCATTTTCCTTACCAACAGATATCACCTGATACGCTTTGTATTGGGTCTTAATTTCATGGATTTAACGTATTAAATGAATTTTCTTCTGTTCAATTCATTGTTGGATTTGAAGTTGTAAGTTTTCAGGAAAATAAAGATATTTTCTACGGAAGGCACGATAAAAATTTATCCGAATTAAATATTTCAAACCAAATTAAATTAACTTATTATGGTAAAGTGATTTAACAATAATTAACCATGATGGAGCTGTGTATTTGATCTTGAAGATTAATTTGTGTATGACTACAGAAATGACCACGATTATTTAAGGAAAGTAGAAATAACGTGTCATAACTATGTATATGTCGATGAAAAAGAATTATATATCTATATTGAAGAAGAAGAAGTCTTGATCTAGTGGCTGCATATGAAGGCAAAAATATTTATAACCTGCTGTCAAATTCATTGAAATTTCTATTCTCCATTATTTTTATATACTAAATTCAACAATTGAATTTTGACAAACTTGGGCTAGATCCCGTTTTTCATTTCTTTTTGCCATTACGAACATCTAAAATAATTTACTAGACCAAAAAAAAAAGACAATTCCTGTTTAATTATCCCAAAATCCACATACAGAATTTTTCCTCATTTAATGACTAATTATCTGAATAGGACTAAATCATTTGAAAGTAATACTTCTTTCCCATCCCTGCAAAAGTAAAAGAAATGATAAACTGTTTTATTACTACTTTATAAACACTAAAATAATTTATGTAACCTTTTCTACAGAGAATAAAAATCACGCAAAGGATAGGTACATAGATAGAATAATACTTTCTTGGTTCAATCGTATTTTGAATAATATTATAATACCAAGTGTAGTGCTTGAATGCCCAAAGTAGTGCCAGCTTCTATGGTAGAACCAACTTTATTTCAGATAATTGTGTTTGCCTTTTCTCTCTCGTGATAATTCCCAATTGATTTTGTCCCAATCTGTACAAGAAAAAGGAAAAGAGAATCCCAAAATGATAACAATAATTTATTGTATTTTGGGATCAAGGATAAAATTTTAAGAGCAACTATCTTGGGTTCAATTTCAATAATTGAGAACGGAAATAATTGAATTCAAAGGCATGTAGTGGCTGCTGAAATTTGGAATACTGTACCCACAAAAGTCCTAAAGGTTCGTCCGCTTATTGTCTACCAAGGTTTTCCTTGTTCTATTTTTTAAGGGAAAAAGAAATGGATCTTATCCAAGCGACAAAGAAAATGGAAAATCCAAAAGGAAAAGCCAACAAGATTATACACGAGTTTGGGCATTCCATAGAAAATATTCTTTATTTATTGCACATAATTGGGGCACTTTGTTTACTTGTTCCAAACTTATAACCACTTTTATCTTTCGCCCTCAAATATCACTTAGAATCTAATTGTTATTTGTGGCTTGAATTAATTCCTTGTATTTTTAAGAAATTCATAGTTCCTATAGGTTTAGGAAAACCCATTGTCCTAATAGATTTGGGAAAGGAAAACCTATAGTCCTTGTCAAATTGGGAAACCTTTCTCATATATGTTTGGGACCTTTTGAGATCTCTATATAGGGGTTGTAGTTGGGGATTCTAAAGATTGTATGGTGTTTTTCTTCTATTCATACTGGAAAACTCTCTTTGCTTTTACCCCGAGGATTAGGCCTAGCCGAACCTCGTTAAATCCCTGTGTTGATTTTTCTTCTCTATTTGCTTTGTGTGTGATTGTGTGCTAGTTAACCCACGATATTCCGCAAAAATTGGTATCAGAGCAAGGTTCGGGTTTCTCCATATAATCTAGGATTAAGATGTCTTCATCATCTTCAACAAAGTACGAAGTAGAGAAATTTGACGGAGGTTCTAGTTTCAGTCTATGGAAGATTAGGATGAAATCGTCCCTGGTGTTACAAGGATTATGGAAAGCAATTGATGAGGATTTTCCTGAAGATATGAAAGAGACAAAGAAGGAAGACCTGAAGGAGAGGGCTTTGAGTGCGATCTTCATGAGTGTTACAGATAGCGTTCCTCGGGAAATTGCTGAAGAAACTTCTGCAGCAACGGCATGGAAGAAGCTGGAAGATCTGTATTCTAAGAAATTGCTGATAAACCGCCTCTACCTGAAAAAGAGGTTATACAATCTCCGTATGAACGAATGTATACCTGTTAAAACTCACCTTGATGAGTTTAATCCAATTATAATGGTCCTAAAGAATGTGGATATCAAAACTGAGAGCGAGGATCAGGCCTTGATTGTGTTATGTACTTTACCACAGTCTTATGATACTTTTGCCAATACACTGCTATATGGGAAAGACAACATTTCACTAGAAGATGTTAGTAATGCACTAAAATCTAAAGAGTTGAAAAAGAGCTTTCCAGACAGCAGAATTGAGGGCGAGGGTCTTATGATTAGAGGAAGAACACAACAAAAGGACTTTAACAGAAAAAGTCAACCGTAAGATCAAAGTCTAGAGCAAGGAAGCAACACTGTTATGAGTGCGGGGAGCAAGGTCACTATAAGAGAGATTGTCCTAAGCTAAAGGAGAAAAGAGGGAAGCAGAAAATGGATAATTCGGCAAATATTGTTGACACTGGCAATAATTTTGATGATAGCGACTATGTAGG